TTTTTTTTTTTGCCAAGCATAGCTAACAGTGTTAAACTATGAGCAGCGACCAGTGAGACATCTGCTGCGAAAAAAAAAAGAGGAAAAAAGTTGATCCTGTTCAGCGTTTGGGTTATTACATCAAGCATGGAGAACAACAAAAAACATTTCAGTAATTTGAATTTCTTTTGAAACAGGGTACCACAATTTTCACTTAACAGAATCACTCACCACTCTATTTTGCCATCTGAAAATCTGATGTTGTGTTCGAAAGCTTTTATTTAACTTCTTCAGATAGAAAACGTTAAGATATATGGATAAAACAAAAAAAAAAAGACCTTAGTTATCTTTTTGATTTGTTTGAGTTATTTTACGTTTAATAAATATTTTCTGGGAAGTCTATTCATTATTATGTGCATTATTCAATTTGAAAACTGCCAGCTTTCATAGTTCTGCATGATCGGTTATAACCTGCAGTCAAATTGGCTTTTGAATTGTATCGCAGAAGAACAGCTGAGATAAAGACACTAACAACAGTAAAAGTAAATCTGTATGTATAAATGTGTATATATAATCAAAATCGGGTCAATTGTTTTTCGGCTACTTATGGAAAAGCTTTAAGATGAGTGTTAACATGAAATCAATACATAAAAGTTTCTAGAAGTTAATATGAATTCCATTAGCAATACATCCGGTAGAAAAGACATATTTAACGAAAAGCTTCTTTTTTTTTCTTTTGCCAGTCTTAATTTCCGTTTTATGTTTAGCTCACTGAAGATACGTAGTTTACCCATAACTTTCAGCCATCTCACCTTGCAACCTTCTAAATTTCTGACTAATTTTTTTGTCTAACTTCACTATTACTTTCAATTTCTGGGTAGGTGTTGTTACTGTCTACAACCACCTATCAATGCCAGCGTTATCTTTAACAAATCATTTATTCACTGATATTTTAAACAATATCAATACAATAATTTTTGGATTGGTTTGTGAAAAGATTATTTTAGTAACATTATAGTATCAAATTCATTTATTTGTAAAGTTCTTAGCTAATTGTCTACCAAATCTGTAAATTATGGTTTATCAAAAAAGTAAAAAGCACATTTAATGCTTAAAATTTGATCTTCTACTGCATGAATCTTTTGATGTTTTGACTTGCCACTGTTTTATTTCTTCATTTTTCTTCGATTAAAATTTTAGCCTATTCTATATTGGTTTCTTTATTGTTCTGCCAACATCTGCTTCTTATAGTTAAGAAACTTAGACAAGTCTGGTACAATAATTTTTTACAGAGGAGTATTTAAATTAACCAATAAATTTCTGCTCAAGCGAATAACATCGTGTAAGGTATTTTAGGTATCAAAAATCAAAGCCATCAATTTTATTATGAAGACTATAATTTTGCTGTTCTTGGTAGTACTGGTGGTATATACAAAAAATGCAATTATTCAAATTGGTCATCTTTTACCAAGTCGTCCAGATATATCACATGAGAAAGATGCTTTAACAATGAGTGCCAGAGATTTAGATCGGAGAGGTCTTCTTCCTCCAAACGTCAAGCTTCAGTAATATTTTATTGTACATATTTGATATTACATAAAAATAACATAAAATACGGTTACAGCGGTTATTACACTATGAGTTGTCATCTTGCAAAGTATCCTTCAACTATAACAGCTTTATTTCTAACATGTTTATTAATAATTAGACTGAAATCAGGTTGTAGAAATTGTTTAGTTGATAAATAATGCTTGAAGGGTTGATACTATGCAGTCATGCAAAGATTTTGTTGGTGTTGAAAATGCTGCGTACCTACATTACAAGAAAAATGCTACCGTTTATTTTGGGCCAGGATGTAACGATGGTATGTTGCGCATCTTACAACTGTTTTTTTCTTCTTTCCATTGTTTCTTATCAACATTGAATGAATAAAAACATTACCCATTAACTTCTAACATTCTCCACAAAATTTTTTAAATTCTAAAAAAACAGTTTGCTCTAGTTCTTGTTACTATTTTGTTATCATTCCTCGTTTACCAATTTTTCAGCCACATTTAGACACTATCTTAAAGCGAGTTTAATTTTTAGTTAATGCTAAATTGTAACACATTGTTCAATCAGCAAAAAAAAGGAACAAATTTTCACAGTACTAGGAAGGATTTACAGACTTAAAGTCTAAACTGATGGCACTGTAATGAAAAAATGTCAGTCGTGATGTCACCAAAAATTTTTCATATTTAATCAGTTTTTTGCCACAAACGATTTCTGATTTTTATTACACAACGAGTTAATATTTGTTGCTGATAGTGCATAAAAAATTACAGAAATTTTGGTAATTGGAAAATTAGCAGCTCGTTGGAATGTACCAATTATTGCCCACATGTCTGGCGAAGATGCTTTAGCTGATCGAAGTATTTATAAAACAATGAGTTCCGTAGCTTTGACGTCGGCGACAGAGATGGCCAGAGCAATCCTGACATTGCTGGACCTTTACAACTGGAAACAAGTACAATTTCGTAAATCTTAGAATTCTGCAGATTATTCCAGAATTTGTTTGGCCAACTGCCGCTAAAGCTTAGAATGAATGCTGAATTTTAACACAGTTCTGTACCAGTCTTACACTCCAATTTTAACAGTTTATGTCCTTAAATTTCTAATCTTTTAGAAGCTCTGATGTTAAACTCATTCAGTAGAAAGTAGACAGCAGAATTGGCTGTCTTTTAAAAGCTTTATTTCTAATTAAAACCCTAACTGAAACTAGGGAAGTTATTTCTTTTCAATGAAGAGCTCCAGATATAGCAGAAACGTTCAACGTAGTTGTTGAGTGGTTGAAAGTAACTTGCTGTTAGTGACATTGTTGAGTAGTAACTTCGTATTATTAATTTTTTTTGCAGATTGGTATCGTTAAATCCACAAAAGGCTTTGAACAGTCTAGTCTTTATGCACTGAAAAACTGGCTCTCACAAGTAAAGAGAATTAAAATCGCGATTGAGGAAGAAGTTAATCCTTATGATTCGGTAGATGCAATCATGAGTTCCGGAGTGCTTACAAGACTGGCAAAAAATGCTCGAAGTTAGCACACATTGAGAAGAAAAAGTTTTAAAATCTCTGTTTTTCAGCTGTTTAACAGGTTAACTGACAACGGTAGCAACAAATGCTGCTGCCGTTGAAATTAATTTTGACACATACGCTAGTCACTTATTCCATCATGTTTCAGTAATTCTCTGTGAAATGGGCTTGGATGTTCACGCAGCGATCAATTTCATGATTGCTGCTGCACGAGCAGATATGAAAAATGAGGAATACGTCTATATTTTACCGTGGCTTTCTCATGTAAGTTCAATCAACACATTTGTTCATTTTCCACACCTTAATTTAGTTTTAAAAATGCAAAATGAAAGATTAGTGTTAAATTTTCTAAGATCTGATAAATTTTTGAAACAGATCTGATGAAAAAAAAAGTTAACTCAGATGTGCTTAAATTTATAAACACATTGATGGGGGTGTTTGTTGAGTCTTTTTAGCATGAAAGAAAAAATCATCAATTAATTACTTTGATGTTTTAAACTACTAATTGCTTTTTATTTAGCAAACCGACTATTTTCCTTGGGAGGCAAATAACGTCGATAAAAATGAAGTTAAAAAAGCTTTTAGTGGGATTGTCTTGGTAAGTAAATAAAAATATTATACAGAAAGATAGAAAAGAGAAAAAAAGAAAGTTGAAAAACAATTCAGAAAAATTATTGTTAAGAATTTATTACTTGCAATTTTTATTTCCACTAGAGGTAATTTTTTTTTAAGATCTTTGTTTTGATTCTTCTAAATTAAATCAAAAATGTGACACAATAATTATGCCAATAACTGACAGATAACTGCACACGGCTATGACAAAAGATTTGTGGCAGAATTTCAACGACGATTTACTCAAGAAACAGGTTTTGCTACCTCTCATGTAAGTCACCAATTTATTAGAGACAGATAATTAAGGAAATTGTTATATGCCTTAATTATTGTAACATTTAGAAAATACTTTGAGAATACATTAATAGTGTTTGACATTTACTTCAGATAAAAACTTAGTATTAGTGTGTTAATAGAAAAACCAGTCAGTTCTAATTATTAGACTTTTCTTTCTGATAGTTGCCAACGCTGCAGAGCTGTTGTGTTGGATCACACCAGTTACAAGAATATAGGCAGAAGGTAACTGAGGAATAGTTAGGAGATTTATGATCGTTATTATCACACAAAGACTTCTTACTATTTTAGTACTCAGCACTTGTTTATATGTCACTGTACGACGCCTTGTATCTTTATGGCTTAGCATTGCATGATGTCTATGAGGAAACAAAAGCCGAAGATGCCTATAAAGATGGTGAAAAAATCTGGAAAAAAATGGCCGATCGACAGTATGAAGGTACATTTGACTTAGAATCTTTTGATATTGCTGCATTAGAAACAATTATAATAATAGTTGGAATTTAAGGTATGACTGGTCAAGTAGTTATTAACAGCAAGGCGTTACGAGTACCTAGCTATGCAACCTACTATGTTACCAACGGTTCAATGAGAATCGTTGTGGAATTGAATGCCGAACTTGGTGCTAACTGCGCTGGAAAAGAACTGGGTTGTACCAGCGAATATGTAAGATGCTTCTGAAAACTTTTTCAGTTATTTGTTCATTTGGAAAAGCCGTAAGCAGAGTTTTGGCCAAATTGTATTATTAAATACTTTAGGTTGCCAGAGAAATCGAAGAAAATTACTGGCATGCAGAAGGGGGCAAATTACCTCTGGACGAGCCGGAGTGTGGTTTTGATGGTAGTCGTTGTGATTACACATCATACTTTATAGCTGGTTCAGCATTATTGCTGCTACTTGTTACTGTACCAATTGCACACTTAGTCAGAATAAAGATGTAAGTGCTTCTTGCCTTTGACTCAATCATTTTATTTGTTACTTGAAAAAAGACAGTTTTTTTGCTTTTTATTTACATATTACTTAACAATAACTTTGTTTCTAATTTGTTTTTTGATATATTAATGTTTAAGCAACGAAAGAAGACTTTATGATATGACTTGGCGAATTCCGCGTGATGAAGTTCGTCTGATTACTCCTGGATCGGTATGTTGACTGTTAAAAGTTTTAGTTACAAGGTGTTAAGCTTACTAGTTTATTTTGGAAATATTTGGCTGAAAAATTATATTTATGAGGATTCTGATTGATGATGAGTTATGTAAATTGCAGAAATCTGGATCTCTGTATCCACATGGTGGTAGCTCATTTGTTGGCAGCGAAACATCACATGTGCAGACCACAATTTTTGGCGTACAACAGGCAGTGTGTAATGGTGTCAGGCTGGCAGCTCGTATATTTGTACAGAATCGTAACATTGCATTTGTGAAAAGTGAATTGAAACTCTTGAAAGAAGTAAAAAGTTCATAATTGTACATTATCATTTAAAGTTGTTTATACTGTTTGAAAAACACCTTAAACTGTTGATTGAACTAGTGTTAGTCAAGTATCGTCGACTTGCTTTGCTGTTTAGAAGACTGTAACTAATAAAGCGTTTATTGCAGATGAAATTTCTTGAAAATGATAACCTGAACAAATTTTTTGGTATTTCTTTCAATCAGCAGAACGAATTCATTGTCTTATGGGTATTCTGTCAACGTGGAAGTTTAGAAGTTTGAATTTTTGACACTTTTCAATTTTATAAACTAAAACATCACATTTTTAACTGACTTAGAAGACGGATTGAAAGATGTTTTTATTCAAAAAGTAAAAAACAATTACTGCTTTATTTTTTCTAAAAAAAAATTTCGAAGGTTACAAGAAAATAAGATTATGACATTTTGATGCTTTATAGGATATTCTCTTCAACGATGAGCTAAAACTTGGACACAACTTTCAAGTTTCATTTGCTAAAGATGTTGTTAAGGTTACCGTTTCCTCTGTTAACCAGTTAATACACAAAATTTTTTTGGTAGTAAATTCTTTACTTGTTGAAACTACCAAAACTAAATTAGCTATTTAAGGTTCTAAAAACTAATAGAACTTTTTCAGGGTCTCTCCTATCTACATGCATCACCAGTGGAAGCACATGGATATCTCTGCTTACAAAACTGTTTAGTGGATTCTAACTGGTCTATAAGGCTTTCTGACTACTGCACAAAGGCCTGCCTTTACTTCAAGTTTGAAAAATAAATGACGATAAAAAGAGTTTTCTTTCTAAACTGTATCCCTCTCTCCCTTTTTTTTGCAGAATATCATCAGTGAAAAGTTACGACATAATGAAATTCGTCGTAAGGATGATGAAAATGCAACAAAAGATAAGGAGGAATGTAACGGTGTCAATAAAACAGAAGCAAAGAAGGAACCTGATGTAAAAGCTGCTGAACAGAACAACAAAACTCATCTGAAAGGTTAAACGTTTAACTTAATCAACACTTACTAGCGTATTCCAAATTTGTGCATTTACAATGACGTTTCAAACATTTTGACAGAACCTAAATTAACTACTTTTTTAGTAAAATCAAAAAGCTTTTTTACTATTATGTTTCTACCACTAAATATAATACACTGCAGAACAGATTCAAATGGCTCCTGAGGTTATTCGTGAAATATTGACCACTAAATTTCTTCCACCAGCAACCCAAGCAGCTGACATTTACAGTTTGGGAATGGTGCTTTATCAGATACTGTATCGTGTTGAACCATTCCACGAAAGAAACCTTTCTAAAGAAAGTAAGTCTAGGGTTGTGATCAATCTTTAATTTCCTCAGTTTTGGTTCACTCTAAGGTTTTTGCTATTATTTAGGAATTGATAGAAACTTTCCTTTTTTGAAGAAAACAAAAGAATTATTTGTTCGCCAGATCAGAGTTAGGAATTTCTTTAAATTTCAAATGGAATGATTTCATTCTACTGACAACTTTTTGTTTAGAAATTTTGGAAAAAATATCACTGGCTAATGATGATGAGGCTATGCTTAGACCAACTTTCCCAGCGGAAGGTGACTATAACATGCAACTTATTTCTGGAATTGAAGCCTGCTGGCTGGAGGTACCAGAAATGAGACCAAATATTAAAAAGATCAAGACTATTGTTCATGGAAACCTTAGAACAACGTTCGTTATTTTTATTCATTTACTCGGTCTCTATGAAGATACTTTGCTTTTGCTAAAACACCTTTAAGGTAGCGATATATTAGTGGACTTTAAAGATTATGTACAAGTAGAATATTTGGTTGTTTCAGAGGTGCAAGTGGCAGTTTAATGGATCAAATGATGAAAATGATGGAAGAGGTAATCTTTCCTTGTGTACTGTATCTTTGTTGCTGTTTAGAGTACTTGGTGGTGTGAGAAATACATTGTTTTTATGCACTTACTTAGCTGCTCCAGTATTTGCTAATTGATTTGAAAAGGTAGAGCGCATTTAACAGAAGTTTAAAGTGTATTCTAAAACAGTGCAACAACTAAACCGACTTGTTACTTTAGTACACACAAAATTTGGAGACACAAGTACGAGAACGGACACAGCTGCTTGAAGAGGCACAATTGCAGACTGATCGACTGTTGCACAACATGCTGCCAAAGTTAGTTGATCTTAGTGGAAGTTCACCTGTCTTTACGCTGCTCATTATTTTATAATAACCTACTGTCATTTGATACTTGTAGGTCTGTAGTTGAAGATTTAAAATTGGGAAAGCCAATACACCCACAGCTTTATACCTGTGCTACAGTACTGTTCTCTGATATCAAGGATTTTACTAAAATATCTGATTCGTCCACACCGTTTCAAATTGTTACATTCCTTAACGAATTGTTTACCGGATTTGATGCGATCATCGAAAAACATGACGCTTATAAGGTGAAAAAAACATGGCCTTTCTACAAGATTACCAAATTTTTTGTTTTTAAAAGATGTATATTTTTCTATACTGTTCGTTATTGACTAACTGAATTTGAGAACATATAAAGCGAAAGAATGACAGAGTTGTAGAATAGCTATTTATCACCTACTAACTGTTTTGAATTTTAGGTCGAAACAATTGGTGATGCTTACATGATCGCTTCTGGAGTCCCACAAGAAAACGGAAATGCACATATTGAACAAATTGCTGAAATTTCACTGAAGATGAGAAAGGTAGCTTGAAAATGAAAGAAAAGCAGGATTTGCTGCAGCTGTGTATAGTCGATGATACACTAGACACTTTGACAGTAAAAAAAAAAATTTGTACCTGAATACTACTTTTTTTGAATGTTGAATTAATAAATTTTTATTGTACAGTTTGTCAGTGGATTTAAACTGGAGCATCGTCCTGAACAACCAATGGCGGTGAGAATCGGATTTCATACTGGTTCAGTTGCAGCAGGAGTTATCGGTTTGGCTGCACCACGTTACTGTTTGTTCGGAGATACTGTTAACACTGCATCACGGATGGAAAGTACTGGAGTACCAAATAAAATTCATGTATCTCACTATCTTCTTCTGTAGTAGAAAACTTAACACTGTTAATTATAGAAATTATTATTGCTTTTTCTTAAATCATCTTTTTTTTTTAAACATTTGTTATTGCTGTTATAAATCTCATTTTTTTTCTGCATTTTAGATTAGTGAAAACAGTAGTAGTTTATTGAAATGCTTCTATCCACAATTTATTCTCGTTGAAAGGGGTACAATTCCAGTTAAAGTTAGTTGGCTTTTTTATCTTCTACGTCTGTAAATTATATTATTGCTTACTGCTCTTAAAAGAAAGAAATTAATTATTCTAATAGACATTTATCTTATTTTGGTGAAAAAAGAAGAAGCAAAAAAGAAACAAACAGAAGTTAATTTTGCTTATCTTTCACTTTGATTATCGTTTACTAGAATTGTGGTGTATATAATTAAACATTTGCAGGGTAAAGGTGATTGTTTAACATTCTTTTTGGAAGGTAAAAGAGAATCTTAAATTGACCAGAGATTATCAGATGCTACACAAATTATATCTCATCAGAAGATTTGATATGGTTAACGAACACCGATTACTACACATGTTTTTTATATCATTAATTCTCTCTATGTTCACGTTCTGTGAATCCAACTCATCAAATTGCCTTCATAGTTCGTCTGTTTGTTTCGCAAAATTCAACCTCCTAATACTTACTGTTGGACTGAAATCGGAACAATATCAAATCAGGTCTATATGCACTAGCGTACACAACTAGGAGCAATAAATATTGACGGACACATAACGTTTCTAGCGGTGGATACAATACCATTAATAAATTTTAGTATACATTTCAACCCATAAATGTAAACGATCTGTAGACAATGGCAGTTTAGTTAATTATCTTTGCTGTTATAATATACAATTTACTCTATATGTTTTTTTTTTTTTGATAAGATCGAAGAGAAAAGAAGAAAAGGAAAAAGTTTGAAATTAATAAAAATTTGGAAAAAAATGGTAGAAGAAATGATATTCAATAACTCATTTATGCGCTGTTACTAAATTTATGCCATAAAACATTAAAAATTAATTTTGTTTCGCTTAATATATTTATTTGTATATATACATATTTTTCACTTCACTGATCTGTTTATTGGCTATGTTTTAGTCTGTTTTATTATTATCACTTTTTTGAGACAATAAAACATTTAACAAATGCAAAGAAAAAGTTGCTGAAACTTTATACCTACATATATATTTGTTCAGTGGAAATTTTCATACAAATATGCCTGGTGTCAGCTGTTTATCAGAGATACTGTTGGTCATCTGGTCGTGCTTAGTTGAATCGTGACTATAAAGCTATTTAAATAGTTTTGTTTCTGCATGATCAACTGTAATTGACTTACGAATAAGAAGGGAAAAAAAAAGAAAACAAGGAAGGAGAAGCAAAAGTTGTGAAACTTTGTCAGCGATATCAACTTCAAAGGCTATTCCCAGTTTCATATTACAATTTTTCACTCATCTTTTTCTCTCATACTCTCACACAAAACTTTAAATGTACCAATTGTTTATTGCTGTGCAAAACCACTTCAATTTGTTTGCATTTTATGCCGAAAAAATTGAACGGTTAAATATTTATTATGACAGATTACCGCTGTTTTTGGTAGGTTTTTTTTTGAAAATTCTGCAGCAATTAGTCATCGGTGAAAAGTTTTGGCTAAAATACAGAGAAGTTAACGCACCTGTATGCAACAGCATTTTATGGTTACAAACAGAAGACTGTTACTCTTATTTGCACTGCACATTCATAAGCAAACCCAAAGCAACATTTCTCACAACTACAATAAAAATTCTTCACATGTATTGTTAT